GGCTGTTAGAATTTACCATAACCCACTCCACCTACCATCTCCACTACCAGAATTTACCATAACCCACTCCACCTACCACCTCCACTACCACCTACACCTACTACCATCTTCTCTTCTATATATAGGAGTTATATAGGAGTTGTAATATATCAATGTATCAGATCAATCAATCAATAAATACATAAATTCTTACACATGGTATTAGAACAGTTCATTGGAAACCATTGTTCTTGCGTCATTTCAGCACCAGAGGTCCTTCCTCTTAGTCATATTTTGCATATTGTATGTCGCAGCCCACTTTATAGCCACTTCGTCATCCTGTCTTCACTCAGCCACATTAGTGTGTCTCTCTCTCAACCTCAACGAAGTTCCCTCTGGCCATCGCAACCCTTCATAGCCTTGATTTTGCAGTCACGCCCCTTCGCAAGTTGTCTGGTCATCTCTCACTCCTCCATTGTTGCCTAGTTCTTGCGCTTCGGACTTCTGGTTGCATCTAGAACCTGCGAATATGACTTCTGGAACAAAAGGGAGAACAATAGTGCCAGCCTAGAGATATTGACGAATAAAGTGGCAATTGATCTCCATGTGCTTCGTCTGTTCATGAAACACTGAATTATGAGCAATTAGAATTGCACTCTAATTGTCACAATACAACGAAGTCAGGGAAGAGAGTGTAACACCCATATCATAAAGAAGCCAATGAAGGAAAACTACTTCAGAAGTGGCATGGGCCAAGCACGATATTCAGCTCATCGGTAAAGCAAGCACCAAACACCTATTTTTTTGCTTTTCTACGAGATGAAAGAATCACCACAAAAAACACAAATCAGACGTGACTTGCAATCAAAGATATCACCAACCCAATCGCATTTGCATGGGCCCAAAGAGTCAATTTTGAGGAGGAAGACAAGTACGCATTAGAGCAAAGTATCACGAATGTAACGCAAAATGCGTAACAAGGCAGTCCAGTGGATAGACTATGGAGCAAAAACAAATTGGCTAAGAATGTGAAAAACATGAGAAATATCTTGACGAGTAACAGTAAGAAAGACTAAATAACCAACTAAGTCTCAATAAGCAGTAGGATCATCGAGGAGCACACCATCGGAAGTAGAGAACTTAGCATGCAATTCAATAAAAGTATCCACAATCTTGTAATCGATGAGATTGGCACAAGAGAGAATGTCACTTGCATACTTTGAGGGGGGCAAAAAAATACCCCTTAGGAGTCTACACAACCTCAATAGCAAGAAAATATCTAAGCGGACCCAAATCTTTCATCTTAAATTCTTGAAACAAATGAAGTTTGACTACATTATTAGTAGAGTCAGACCTAGTCATAATCACATCATCCACATGCAAGAGAACAAGAAGAAGTCTAGTAGAAGTGCGATGGGTAAGCAGTGCAGAGTCATGCGCGCTAGGGCAAAAACCAAGCTGTAGAGTAACAGATTGAAATTGCTCATACCAAGCCCAAGGAGACTTTTAAGGCCACAGAGAGCACAACGAAAGTGACAAACAAGACCTAGGGAATGAGAGAGGCTGGGAGGAGCCCACATATAAACCTCCTTTGCAAAAGAATTCTTAACATCTAGGTGAAACAGAGGCCATTAACGCATAGCAGCAACAAAGATAAGAGTATGAACGATAGTCGTCTTATCAACCAAAGCAAATGTTTCCTCATGGCCAATCCCATACTCCCAAAAGAAACCCTAAGCAACCATGCGAGCATTGTAACATTTTAAAAAACTATCAGAATGAGTCTTGACCTTGTCGATTCATTCGCAGCCAATAAGATTTTTTCAACAAACAGAACCAACTCCCAAGTCTGAGTCTTAACTAGAGCAATTAACTTATTATTCATGGTAGTGACCCAATTTGGATCATGTCAAGCTTCTTTATAGGACCTGGGATCAAAGTAAGTATGGAGACAAGATAGAAATGACCGATAGAAGGACAAGAAATATGCATTAGTGAAATTATATTTGACCAACGAACAGCGATCCAAAGGAGGATAACAAGATGCAAGTAGATCAAGGTCCAGAGATGGAGGAGGAGGGTCAATAAACCTGGATGGTTGAGACCGATGACGCAAGTAAACAAGGAGAGGACCAGACAAAGGACCAGGAGAAGCCACAAGAGAAAGATCAGATGCTTTAACACTATAGACACTCATCGAGAGACACATCAGCGGGGGAAGGATCAAGATGAACCAATTCATCCTGGTAATGAAAGCAAAAGTGAAAAGAAGAGTGAAGTAAGATAGTTTTTCTAGAAAAGTGACATGATGAAATATGTAGAGCTTTTTGGTCATAGGATCATAACGGTAACCGTTCTAATGAATACCATAACCCTAGAGAACACACAATACACATCGAGAGCTAAGCTTTGAATGGTCTCATTTGGGAAGAAGAACAAAACATGTAGAACCAAAGACATGGAAGAGGGAGTAATTGGTGATCTCACCATAAATTCGTCCATAAGGAGAATCGCCAGAGACAAGAGTTGGCATCCTATTGAGAAGGTAAGCAGCAGTAAGCACAACTTCTCCCCAAAGGAAGGGAACAAAAGATGAAAGGAGTGGCCAAGTTGTGTCAAGAAGATGACGATTTTTGCAGTCAGCTTTGCCGTTAAGCGAAGGAGTACCAGAACAAGAGGATTGATGAACAGTACCATTAGGGCATGTTTGATTAGGAGGATTATAGCGTAGGATTGAGATTAATAATCCATGGGACTTACATTCCGATGTTTGGTTCCAATGGTGACCCCTAAAACTCTCTATAATCTTCTTGATAACACTTCCCAAAATTTTTATAGAGAGATGTGACAAGACAAATGCGCCAAAAATCCCCAATCCTTGAAGAAATATTCATCTTAGGAATCAAACAAATAAATGAAGCTTTCATGCAAGTGTTCACTACATTATTTCCAAAAATTCTGCAAAACCTTAATCAAATCCATCTTAACCACATCCCAACAATATTGAAAAAGGCCACAGTAAATTCATCAAATCCTAGCATTTTATCCCTTTCACAATCAAAAATATGTAACCTAATTTCTTAGGTCTTTCCAACCAATTAGACTTGCTAGCCTCAATTGGAAACTACTCCAAACCTCAATCCCTAGCCTATCCATCCCACTCGAAGTATACAACCTAGAATAGAAAGAAAAAAATTTATTAATTATCTTATATTCCATTTCCACAACCCTCCCTTAATCATTTTTTCAATCATTGACAAAGAAAATTGTATTCGAGAATGTGTCGAGGGGAACCCTAATCAATCAATAAAAAGGAACTTTTACTTTTTCAGTTTTCAACCTCTTAATCAACTTCTTATTCCTTTTCCCATTTTTCGCCCTATGAAATAGCTTGGAATTATTATCCCATCCTTCAACCATCTAACTTTCGCTTCTTGTCAATATGAGATTTGCTCCCTAACCACTACTTCCTCAGACTTGATCTTTAACTCTAGTTTTTCCTTTCTAAGAGACTCATTTAACTCGATTCTAAAATATCCAACTTATTCTTCTAAAAAAGCCATTCTTTACTTTCCTCAAATCCCCAAAAATATTCTTATTCCAAACATTTAACTTAGGCCTAGTTTGGGAAGACTAAATAAGTGCACTTTTTGACTTTTTATGAAATATGGATTGGGTTTGAAGTGATGTATTAGAGAGGTGATGTGACTTAAATAAGATGATGTGACTTAAATAAGATAGTGACTTTTTGACTTTTTATCTTTTTTCAATCTCATATTATATACATTGCCACCAACACCACTATCATATTCTATACATGCCACTATCTACCACCAACACCACTATCATATTATATACATACCACTATCTTATTATATACATTAACACAAATTTCCAGCAGCCTTGCACCACACCCATAGAATATCTGACTCAGTAGAATATCCACCAAAAGGAAAAATCCTCTTGATACCCACATGACCCACCTTGAGTAGAGAGCACAAAACATTCCACCTAAAATGGCGTTACTTGAACTCCTCCATGTACCTCTACAGAAGAAATCACTCTAAAGCCACTCGTGAAATTGGTTAAATATTGCTAACTTGACAAAACACACCACTAAGCAATGAGGTCCTTTCATATATATATATATATATATACACAAGTAGCTTTATATATATACATTTTTATGCTGCATATAAAGCTTAGAGGTGAGTTCAAACATAGCTAAAAAATTAGTGTGCCTCAAAATGTGCTCACGTTGGCTTATTTATATAACAAGCTTCTCTCAAATACGCTTTTAGTGAGCCATAAACGAGTCGAGCTTGAGTAGACTGGTTTGTTTTACAACCCTGATAAGAGTAGCAGCACTTCAACAACAGTTATTAGTTGATTTGGTCTTTTGTTTATATGTAGTCTTTTGTATTAAATTAAACTTCAAATCTTGAATAACTGAAACCTGTTAAGATATGTCTTTGTGCACAAAAATAAAACAAAAAAGAAAAGCACAAAAGCACAAGCATGGGGAAAAAGCCAAGTGCTTGGACAATACTGATAGGAATAGGTTCATAACTATTCCTTAACAAAAGGTACTTACAAAAAAGATAAAAACAGCATCAAAGAATTCATTTTGCAGAACCGATATAGTGAAATGGAAAATTGTGACTGAATATCACCTATGCTCAGCACTTAATGATTGAGTAAAGAATAAACATTAATGATCAAGTAAAGAACAAACAATGAGCTGCACAATAACCAATTAAAGAAAAGGTGCCTTGCTTGTGAGTTTTGCATCAACAGCATCCTGGTTCAAAATCTCTGTTGAAGTTTGTGTATCATCATTTTTATTTGTCGGTGAATTTCAGATATCCAATTGCTACATTATCAAATATGTGTTACCAAGAATAAGAAGGATCAGATTTGTTAGATAGTTATAAAATTTAAGAGCACAAGCATTAGATTCTCACGGAATAATCAGCAACCTATCATTTGATAGTGTATGTAAAGGAAAAGAAGAGCATTACCTTCACTATAGCTATTGCAGCTGAGATTGGATCTCTAACTCCTAGAACAGTCCAAATCAAAGAATTATCTGAACCAGCCGGTATAATTCCAATTGGAATTGAAATTGCTTCTTTCTGGTTGTCTCTACTGAGTAGACCATTTAAAACCTGCACAAGAACAATGCTATGTAACTTGATCCTCATGTCAAACAAAAATAACCAAACAAATATAAGCAAACAACAAATAAACATGGAATCTAATGGAGCCAATCAAGAAAGAGATTTCATTAGAGAGAGAAAATCCCAAGATGGGTACAAGAGCTCTCAAGCTTTGAAATATTCAATATCAAAATATCATAAACTAAATACTAGAGGGCCTAACCACCAATTTATAGGATAAAAGACCCAACTAACTCTAATTAACATTTACGGTGTTAAACATAACAACCATACTAGTTCTAACTACATCCGACTTCCCCTCTAAAGAAAACAACTTGTCCTCAAGTTGGGACTACAACAAAATGACTCAAACAAATGACTTATAGAAGTATGATGGACATGCAACAGCGAACAAGGTTAAGTAGTTGCAAGTCCTTATTCAAAGATCATCCTAGCAAATATCCTTCCATCAAAACGAGTTCTCTTTTATGGACATCAACCGAAGCCATGTTGAGGTGTGAATAGGCCACCCATGTAGCATGCCGTTTTGGAAGCAAGATGTCATTAAAGTGACACTTCTCACGTGGGCTCAAAATAAACACATCCTTCCTCTACGCAGCTGGGCCGGGTACTAAATCAACACAAACTTTGAAGATAGCATAAGAGGCATTTTTAGGAAACAAAGTTCATTCAACACCCATGAAACTTCAATGTCATGACTCTCCATCATAATTTTCTTGGAATGTAGATAAAGGATAGATGGTGGGATTGCAATCACTTCCTTCATGGGAAGTGATGTAAGAGCAAAACTTGTTTCATCTACAAATCTTTCTTCATCTTCAAGGACACCTTGACTCTGTACAAGAAAGTCATCTTCAACATCATAGTGGTCAAAGATTGGAACTCCTTCATAGTCACACAAACATCAACTTCCTCTTCATATTCACAAATATCAGCTTCCTCATAAGCCAACGGTTCACTATAGTCGTCAAAGATGGCAACATCTTGACCATAGTCTTCTTCCACATCTTGATCAAAGATGGGAATATCTTCATCACAAATAGAATGAGCTTGACAACAATCTTGTTTGTTGCCACAATTTTCCTCCATGTCTTCTTCACCAAAGATAGAAGCTTCTTCCTCATTATATCTTGGTTCAACCACCTCGTCACTAAAGAGTATCTTATGATGACATCCATCATCACAAGTCTCTTGCATTCCAGCACTAGTTGAATAACCAACCTGGACATAGTCATAGAATGGTTGTCCGATTGCAAAACCGCTTTGGTATTGATGTCCGGAATTTGAAATGCCCTTCTTTGGTTGCTTCTCAACCAACAAAGGTGGCATATGATTAGATGGCAATAAGTGGTCCATGAGCTCCTTCCTCATCTTCTTCCACTCTAACCTTTTCTTGGCCATTTCTTTGCCTACCAACTTGTAATTGTTTCCACCAATTAGAGGCGTGACCTTTGAAGCTTTGAGAGACCAATTTCACCTTCCTTGCTTCCGACACATCATAACACTCCAAATGACTCCTCAAACACATCCTGATTGTAGCTTCCATGAAATTCGGGAAACACTAAATCCTTAACAGTGTCATTCCACTCGGAATTCAACCCAGTTGAACATGATCTACACCTATGCAGAGCATGAAAGAAATCATCTAGTTGATGATCCTTGGAACCATTACTACCTTTGGAATGAAGTTGCAAGCATTGCACCTTTCCAACCAAGGTAGCTATTTGTGAACTCAACTCTTCAATCTCATTTTGTTGATTTTGGTTTCCAATGCTCCTTTCAATTGAAAGATTCATCTCGATTTCTTCACCCAAATTCGTAGCATAAGCCCTACCACGGCCACCCCTAGACCTCAACCTTGTTGAGCCATCGAAACCCCCAAATGTTCAAATCACAAACCCAATTCGATCAACAGTTCAAGAACAATAATGGAACTACCCAAAAAATCCAAATAGTGCAATAGTTCAAACAATTCAAGAACACAGTATAAGCAAAATGAGCCCAATCAAATCCCAACCAGATATAGATCAACAATCCAAAATTAGGATCAAGAATTAAATCAAGAATCAAACATCCCAAATCAAGAATTGCAGAGTTTGCTAATTGAAGGCAAAATAGCTAAATCAGAGATGGACTCAAGTCAGAAGTCATAAACATGGACAAGAGAGTCGAAGAACAAAGACCCAAGCAGTACGAAGGTCTCCTTCGTTCAAGGCCTGCGAAGAATCCAAGGCCAGTTCTATGCACCTTTGTAGGTCACAAACGAGGGCCACTGAGTACCGAATCAACCTAGAACTCAAAACTCATATTGCAAAAGGTCCTGCGAGTCGCGATTGGGAGTCGGCCTTGAACCCACGAAGTTGAACTTCAGCAATGAATCAGATTGCGAACCGAAGACTTCAATCCAGTTGCAAAGTTGAATCCAAATCAAGGGCCAAGTGCGAAACTCAAATTGACATCGATGTTCACCCACAGGTTCAAATTTGAGTCGAAATCAAAACAAGATGTCAAATCTTAGGACTAAACAAATCGCGATGCTGATAGTCTCACTTTTGAAGTACATATTCAATCTATAGACTCAAGTTGGAAATTGCTTGTTAGGTTCGTGGCTGGTATACAAGTTTAGTTACCGAAGATCAAGCTTAAAACTAGGATTTCAGATCTTCAATCACCAAATATGGTTCTTGCAATTGAATTTGGTTCTTGAAATCCTTCTTGCAATATGGAATAGGACCAAAAGACCAATCCTAGAGCTCTGATACCAAAATGATGGAACCAATCAAGAACGAACTTTCATTAGAGAGAGAAAACCCCAAAATGGGTACAAGAGCTCTCAAGTTCTAAAATATTCTTTATCAAAATATCATAAACTAAATACTAGAGGGACCTAACCACCTGTTTATAGGATAAAAGACTCAACTAACTCTAACTCACTCTTATGGTGCTAAACATAACAACAATATTAGTTCTAACTACATCAGAATCTCATATCACTCACTCACACAAGAATGAACTAGTGGGCAACTAACGCAAATTTGGAAACTACATATATAATATAGCCCAGTTGACTTGAGGACCTAAAAAAATATGATTATTTGATCATTATAATTAAGTAATTAGTCTTATTAGGAGTCTTTGATTTAATATTGTTGTAGTTTTATTTTATTATAACTTTTAGAAACTCAAGAGACAAATATTGGGTTACTCTGTTAAGTTAGCTTAGTTTTAGAGGATATTTATGTGTTTCCAAGGTCCTATAAATAGGCTTTGTTGGTATAAAATGACTTTAGACTTTGAAGATGAATAAAAGTTGAATAGTTGGAAGAGCTCTGTATATCTATAAATATATGTATGTATATTATATGAAGCACGGGTACAGGTATGGGTAAGATATGGGTACATTGATACCATAAAATCTAAAAAAAATAAGGTACGGATATGGCAGGATATGTATGTAAAAAATATTAATTTTTAATTTAAAATAATGCAAAAATTAGTTAAATTATTTAATTTGTTAAAATTTAATCTACAATTCACATTGAATGCCAAAAAGTAAAGGTATAAATCAAAATTAAGTATCATTATATTAAATAACTTACAAACCATAGCTTAATTTTAAAATCATACTAAGTATAAAAATAAAAATTAAAAAGAAGCGCAATGAAATTAATTTTACCTTTGTGTTAGAAGAAAATAATGTTTCAATTGAGGCACGGTACGATACGGCTTGAGTATATATTAGATACATCTGGGTATGCCAAAAATTAAGAACGAAAATTTTGGATACGTGTTTCGTATACCTGATAAGTATGTAGAAATGCCATACAAAGTATCTTAGGCCTCGTTTGGCAAGTTAACAATTTAGCCAAAAAGCCAAAAAGTTACTAAAAAAGCCAAAAAGGCTATAACTTATATCAAAAAGTCAAAGATTCTCTTCTCTCTACTTTTTGCACATCTTTTCGTAAAAAATTAAAAAGTCACCCCAAACATACTAGTTTTTTTACCTCATATTTTAGCCAAAAAGCTAAAAAATTACTAAAATAGCATGTTCCCAAACGAGGCCTAAGTACTTGGTACGGGTACAGCATGTTTGTCGAAGTACCAATGCTTCATATATATCATACATCTTTATTTTCCTTATTCTCTCTCTCTCTCTCTCTCTCTCTCTCTCTCTCCATTATTATTTTTTTTTTTTATCAACAACAAAACAATTTTATTAAATAAATAGCGAGGGAGAAATACACAAAAGTGCAAAGCAAGACAAGAAGTCCACCAAGAAAAGAAAAAGACAACAAAATTAAAAGAAAACTCTCCACGTATACCATATTCGATTGCACTCAATAAACCAAAAAGAGAGATTCGAAAACATGCAAGATTTGCCAACATGGTGGCATATGCACTTCCTATAGTTGAGGATGATATTTTGTCTACCTATAGAGAAGGCATAGAAATTCAAAAAGTTCATAATGGAATAAGGCAATGAATGAAGAGGTGAAATCTCTACACCAAAATCATAGTTCGAAGTTGGTGCAACTTCCAAAAGGAAAGAAAGCAATTGGATGCAAATGGATTTACACCAAGAAGAAAGGTACTCTAGGAAATAATGGTGTACAGTTCAATGCTAGAGTGGTGGCTAAAGGCTACGCACAGAAGCAAGGAAGGAGTAGATTACAATGAGGTATTTTCTCCAGTTGTGGAGCACTCTTCTATTCGTATTTTGCTAGCTTTGGTGGCACAATTTGACCTTTAATTAGTTCAACTTGATGTCAAAACTGCTTTCTTGCACGGTGATTTAGAAAGAGAAATATATATGTCTCTGCCTGATGGATTTAAGGTTGTGGGAAATAAGGATCTTGTTTGCAAATTGAGAAAATCGTTGTATGCTTTAAAACAGCCCCTCAGACAATGGTACAAGCAATTTGATCAATTTATGATTGGGCAAAAATACACATAGGCCAATATGATCATTGTGTGTATTTTCAAAAGCTAAGTTATGGTTCCTTCATATATTTACTTTTATATGTTGATGACATGCTCATCGCATCTAAAAGTTTGATGGAGATAGACAAGTTGAAAGCTTTGCTGAGCAGTGAATTCGAGATGAAGGATCTTGGAGACCTAAGAAGATTTTGGGGATGCAAATTAAAAGAGATAGATTGAAAGGTACGGCTGGCTTGTTTCAGACATAGTATTTGAAGAAAGTTATGCAACAGTTTGGTATGGGTGAAAACACCAAATCGGTGAGTTTGGCCCCACATTTCAAGCTCAATGCTTTGATGTCTCCAAGTACTGAAGAAGAGCGTGATTATATGGATCATGTTCCATATGCAAATGTGGTTGGTAGCTTAACGTACGCAATGGTGTGTACTACGCCCGACATTTCTCAAGCTGTTAGTAGCGTGAGTAGATATACGCATGACCCAAGGAAAGGTAACTGGCTAGCAGTCAAGTGGATTCTTTGATACATCCTCAGTACTATCAATGTTGGTTTGATGTTTGAAAAGGATGAAGGACTTGGTCAACATGTTGGATATGCAGATTCAGATTATACTGGTGATTTGGATAAGCGACAATCAACTACAGGGTATTTGTTTACACTTGCAAAAGGACCTGTGTTGGAGATCAACGTTACAATCTACAATTGCTCTATCAACCACCAAAGCAAAATACATGGCCGTGACTAAGGCCATTAAGGAGGGTATTTGGTTACATGGATTGCTTGAAGATTTAGGAGTTACTCACGAAAATGTTAATATTTACTGTGACAGTCAGAGCGCAATTCATTTGGCGAAGAACTGAGTTCATCATTTTCAAACTAAACATATTGAAGTACAGTTTCATTTTGTTAGGGAAATTTTGAATAAAGGGAGCATTGTTCTTCAAAAGATTGAAACTGTAGCATGTTGACAAAAGTGGTATCGGGGATCAAGTTCAGGCATTGTTTGGATTTGATCAACATTGTTCGTGTTTGAACCCTTTCGAGGGTGTTGGCGCCACAGCGTTGTTTGGGATTTTCACAAGGTGGAGATTTGTTAGGAATTGGCTCAATTCCATTTGGATACACACACATATATATAGCATTTGGTTTTATGTATTGCATTCAATTGGATACATGCAGGACAATGGATATATGCATTGGGAGGTGGATGCATTTGGTAGTTCATTTGATGGTTCACGTATCATCATTATGACATGTACAAGCATGGATTAATTATTGTTCATGTATTTGAATATTCATCCCCCTCATTACCAATGTATTTGGAACCTATGAACACTATATATATTGTGGCTCATTTGTAACTGAGATGGCAAGTTGAGAGGAAACAAGAGTGAGGCATTTGTGGTTAGAGAAAGTGTGAGATGCATTTGTAACTTTCTTTTTGAAATAGTGAAATTGTCAGTGTTGTCCATGGACGTACCTCAAGTTGAGGGAACCACATAAATCATTGTCTTCTCTTCCCATGCTTTTTCTCTACTTGTGTTTATTTTGTCATGTTTTCTACAAAGTTCTGTGAGGGGTTTTCGGGAGGCATTTCGCACTACATGTTCTACATCAGGCCACCTTAGATGGCACTTAGGATGACCATATATGCCTTGCCTAAACAATTTCCACTCTAAATGCCCCAAAGTTTGACCCTTTGCACAACAAAACATCTTCGCACTCTTCAGGCTAGCCAATTAATAAAATTTCTCAAAAAGGGACTGCTAAAAAGCTTGATAACATTGTTGGGCTCATTTCCAACTAGTTGATATTAGAGCTTGGCTTCCAAAAGGTCAAGTTCACAGCTCCTAATAAGTGTTCTTTTTATTTCTTTTTTTCTTTTTTTCCATTATGTTTGCTATTTTGCACTCTATTTTGTGTGTTGATGCACCTTGTTTAGTTTTGTTTGTTTGTTCATTTGTTTGTCTCTCCATGGTGAGATGGGGTCACATGTGAGAGATGATGTTAACTTGATACATATATTGTTGGGCCTTCTAATAACGACAAAGATTTTAGCAGAGTTGGTAATCTAACAGAACCCAAATCTCATCCAACTCCAAATCTTATAAATTCCTTTCATATTAATAGATATGCTAATATTAACAACCTGTAGACTTCCCACCAAATTGGATTCTTAGGGGAATTGCAACATTTCTGTGCGTAACCACTTTTATAAATAGCATAATGAAACTAACACTGAGTTGTGATATATTATACAGCTTTAAACCTGTCACAAAGCTAAAAGATGATAGTAACAAACAATTGTTGTCAAATTGTGAGTCGTTTTGCTAATACAATGAATCGTGAATCGTGAGATTCATTTTAATTATTATAATTTACAATTCTATATATGCATATACATATTAAAACACACACACAGTAGGGGCTCCTATTTTCATGCCCAAGTAGGGCTTTCACACACCAGTTGTCGCTCCTACCCTCTCACCAATCCTAAAAAATAAAGAACGTAATTTCCATCTCAAAGTTATCAATTAAATTTTGCCAACTCAAGGAGAGGATAAAGAATTCGTGCTGTCTTGAACAAAATTAATATGGGCAAACTGCAAACTCCACAAATTTTCATATTAAAAAAAAATATACTCAAATATATATATGCAATTGCAAACATATATACTTAGAAATATGTATATCTATTATATATAGGATGAAGGAAATTTAATTAAATATGCAAGAAAAAGTTCATTTGTAGAATTTGAATGAACAAAATGACCCAAATCTTGAAAATGACTTGCCTCATTAACAATTCCATCACCTCCAACACATATAATTCCTGCAAAACAATATCACAAATGAATGACAGTCTAAAAAAAAAATACGTATATATATATATTTAAGCTGCATGCCAAAACCAAATATGAAACAAACTATAAAACAGAATGAAAGTTGGAGATACCATCAGGGCATGTGGTGAAATCAACATTGGAGGCAAGTTTTCTAGCATGACCAGCAGATTTTGTTTTGACTACCTCCATCTTAAACCCTGCAAGCTGTCACAGGTTGCAACTCTTAAATAAATTACATGATATGATTAAGAACAAAACTATAAATCTGCTACTTCTGCATACTAAGGATTATCACGGCCAACTATTTGACTTTTAACTCCCAAAAGCAGCCGTAGATGCAATCCATAATACTATTGGAGAACCTAAGTTGTCACCTCTTGAAAATTCAAAAGTTCATGGAATGAAATGTTCCAGAAGAAGGATGTGCAGAGAGAGAGAGAGAGAGAGAGAGATGTAAAGCAATCAACAAACTTGCAAATTCACCAAAAAGCTTTTTTTAGGTCATGTTTTACCTTATTGTACTTGCTAATAGGTGCCATGTCTATTTCTGACACAGTGGGGACACGTATCGACGTGTCCAACCCGCCCCATGGGGTGTCAATTTTTTTAATTATTATTTTTTTGGACATGTTGGGGACACTTCATGTACACATGCATTTTGTGATTGGACACACCCCAAGATAAGTTAAGAGAGAACTAGTTAAAATGATTTGGTCATGTACAACAAAGGCCTATAGATGCAACAGTAAGGGAGAGTAATAGGATCACCATAATGGAGATGCTAGGAGGAGGTGAAGACTTTAAGTTGACATAGGGTGCAATAGCGAAACAGATATGAATTGATGTAATATAACTTAACGTATAGACCTTAATAGAGTTGAATGACAAAAAAATATTCATATAGTCAACCCTACTTGATTGGAACATAAAACTTAGTTTGATTTGTTTGGTTTATCCCCATCGTATCCATATCCTAATTTTTTTAGAATCGTTTTGTCCCATGTCTGTGTATATGTCTCTTAGTATAAAACCAGAGGGTTGGTTAGATGTTATACGCGTTTCAACTTGGCAGTTGGGTGGGTAGCTTTGTGACTTGCAAAATTAAAGAAAATAGTAAAAACATAATTAAAAAAATCAAATATATATATTTTTTGATGTCACATTATTATATCCATTAAATAAACTAATTCTCCTAAAAAAATACCTTTGAAATAATTATGCAAATATAATTAGAAAAAGGAAAAACATATAAGAGGTAGGGAAGGGGACCTAGGAGAGGGGTGACAATGGAGGGGGACTTATTGTGATTTGTGAGGGAGGGGAAGCGAGAATGGAGGAGGGGGGACATTGGGGAATGAGGGTTGCAATGGTGTAGGGAGGAGGAAGGAGAGAGTTATTCTAAGGGAGGGGGACTTCGAGGTGACGGTAGGGAAATCAGGAGGGCGAGATCTGTGGAGAGCCGGAAGGTGGCAATGTGTGAAGAATGGAGCTAGGAGGGGGAGAACAGTGAAGGAAGAGCCGGGTGGAGAAATCTGAGAGAGTGTACCTGAGATGTGAGACCATTTCGGAGAGAGCCCAAAGTGGCGATAGTAGGTGGCTGTGATGGAAGCGCCAATAGCCACAGTAGGCGGCAGACGAAAGCCAGTGAGAATCAGAGATGAGAAGTTGAGGGATAGGCAATGGTGGTCAGTAAGGTGGGGGTAGGGGGCGGGGTACATTAAAGCATGTTCAACGTCTCTAGAAAAAGAAATTTAGGCCTCGTTTGGGATGTTACTAAATTAGCCAATTAGCCAAAAAGTTACTAAATTAGCCAATTAGCCAATTAGTCATACAAAAAAGTCAACAATTACGGCTTCTCTCTACTTTTTGGACAGCTTTTCGTAATTAGTCAAAAAGTCATCCCAAACATACAAGTTTTTTTTACCTACCTTTTTAGCCAATTAGCCAAAAAGTTACTAAATTAGCCTGTTCCCAAACGAGGCCTTAATAGGCAAAAATGAAAATTGTCTGACCTAATTAGGTTAGGTGTTTGGAGTGGAGGAATAAGGTCTGACCCTACCAGTTGCATTCAACAGCATGTCAGCATCTAGCTATCTTAAAGATTCCTCAATTGTAGTGCGTAAAGGTTTGAACAAGTATCAAAAAATGCTAACAATTTTCATAGTCATCCATTGTGGGTATTAGACTCAAAACTCTCAAGATAACTAGAATATTCCAGAAATGTCTACATACCTTAAATATTGGTTCCACCATCCCATGAAAAACTTTACTCGAACGACCGCGTCCAGATCGTGGATTTAAAATCACGAGCATTTTAGGTGGACTCTTACATTTTATGCGTAATTCATAAGGAAAATCACTAGCAACCATTTCTGAAGCCTGCTTCAAAGGATGAGGCAAACAATTCACAAAACACTGCTGGTCAGCAAATCCAGTAACCCACTGGACTGCTTCTTCAGAGGTAAAAGCCAAGAAGCGAAAATCCTTCCGACTTCTCCCAGTTTTCATAAAGCAAGAAAGGCCACATGAACCCTTTTTCACAGTGTATGCATGAATAGTAAAATGTCTGATACCAACGTTGTACGATACCTGCAAAGTCGTGGAATTATATATTCAGTCCAATTATAAAAGTAGAGGTTATTTATTCAGGAAAAAAAGCAGAACAATCTAAAAACATCCCACCGAAATCACATCCTCTAGACAGAGCACATGAGAACCCCAGACTAATGCCTTGCTTGTGAGTTTTGCATCAACAGCATCCTGGTTCAAAATCTCTGTTGAAGTTTGTGTATCATCATTTTTATTTGTCTTTCTCTTATCCAAAACCAGCTTTCCAGAAAACACTTCATATCCCAACAAGTCAGACTGTTCATCTCCAATATCAATCCTGTGTTCCTCCCTTTTTGCTTTCTTGAGATCATCACTGTTGACACTTGTGTCACCACGCCTGGAAGCCTTCACCTTGCCACGTTTTTCGGGAAAGACAATTGGGGAGGAGTGCTGTCCAGTTGCTACTTGAGAACACAACCCCAAGCGGCGAAGAGACTGCTGAGGTGTCAGTCTCAAAGAATTATTCTTGGAAAGACTCCCACTCGTCTGCATATTTGTTTCACAGCAGTATACAGAAACAACAAATCATGGAGATGGAAAATGATAGAGTTCTTGCATAAGCTGTAGAGTAGGTGATCCACCAAAACGGGCAATAAAATCCAGCATAATATATCAACCTGCATAGGACACTTTTAAGCTGTCATTCTACAATTATCACACATCAGAAGATTCTGCATAGTCTCATACATGGATACATAGAAATCAAAAAAAAGACTGTTGGCTTTCGATACAACAATCTTTGAGTCTTTTGAGCAGAATATTGTAATCTTATGCAAGAAATTGAAACAGGCAGATTTCTGGAGCAAAAACAATGGACAGATTTGAGACAAAACAGGAGTTGCTGTATCTTCCTTGTAATAGACTTCTCAGTTGCATACAAATATCCATAAAAGCATTAAATCTCAGCCCTACACTTGTCTAATGTAAGACCCATCTGAACATACTAAAAGACCAAAAAGGACATTAGTTTTGACACAATTACAAACACATGACAGGAATTACAGTTTGAACACTCCCCCTTAATGCCTTGTTGGTGACACCCAATGTTTCTCTGAAGTATTGAAACTTATCCATCAGTAGAGCTTTGCTGAATGTCCGCTAATTGGTCTTCTCGGCCTTCGGTATTGCAATATTTGAGTTGAATCTCTTAATTCTACATGACCTCTTTAATGAAGTGATGTTTAATGCAATGTGCTTTATACAGCTATGGTAGATGGGATTCTTTGTCGTGGTAATGGCAGACTTCTTGTCCCACAAAATTGGAGTAGTTTCTTCTTGCTTTACACAATTGTCTTCCTAGATTCTCCTTAGCCACATTGCTTGTAAAGTTACCAATGATTGACCAAATATACTAGGCCTCAGCAGAAGATTGTGCCACGACTTATTGCTTCTTGGATGCTCATGAAAATACACCCAAACCAAGAGAGAACGCACATCCAGAAGTGCTTCTCATATCATCAACCCATCCAGCCTAATCTCTCTCACAAAATCCATGCAACTTTGCATCAACATCTTCTTGTAAACAATGTGTACCTTGAATGTATCTCAGCACTCACTTAGTAGCCCTGAAATGTCATTGGCTTGGATTGTACAAGAATCGGGACAACAAGCAACATACATAACGTTCGGTCTTGTAGTTGTCAAATACAATAAACTTCGAACAAAGCTTCTATAATGAGATGCATCCATTTCTTTGAGTCCGTTTGACAATTTTTCATTCACAATCAAAGGGTGATGCGAAAAGTGTGTGCACCATGGAGTTCTTATAATTTTGTCTTTAATATTTATTATCTAATTTATTTTAGTATTTTATTTTTAATTATAGTTTAATTAAGATTTTTTTTTTTTTTGGTTAGGAGTTTAATTAATATTTGTTTTCCTTTGGTTAGGAGTTCAATTAATATTTGGTTTCCTATTTGTTTCATTTTTTATATTAGGGTTTCTAGCCTACAAGTATTAGATTTCTGCATTGTAATAGTAAGCTTTGAGAATATCATTGTGTGATTAAGGTTGTGGCCATCTTGTGTTCAAGTTGTGGCCCCCTTCTTCTTTTCTCTCTTATTCTCTTCTTCTCTTTTCTTAAGGTGTTCTACATTAATAGCTATTAGAGCCAAACTTCGATCGACCTTTCTCTGTTCAATCAGTGTGGTTGCCTTCTTCATAAGACTTCATCAATTTGGACCAAAATCATTATTTAAAAATAAAATTAAAAATATATATATGTTTTCACCATTTAGTCATGTTCACCAATGCCAAGTTAAACTCCTAATTTTAGACCCTATCTCAAAAACACCATGTGATGAAGAAAGATATGCAAGTGATGAAGAAAAAAATGACTCAGAAGAAAGCCACTTTGAACAAATTGTTAGTCCATCTTTTTGGATAAACTTTAGAAATTCCTCAAGGGCCTATTTGAATAGCAAAATTAACAGTGAGAGGATTACAATCCATGATGTTTGATTAGCAGGATTAACAATGAGGGGATTACAATCCATATAATTCCCTCCTATCCACGTTTATTTTGCAATAGATATGAAAAAATACAATCTCAATTATATGCATGTTTTGCATTATTAGTTGTAAATTTTTTGAATAGAATGGCCCTTGGAATCTAATCTTAAAAATAAAATTGCAATCAAACAATGGAACATGAGTCCCATGGCCGTCCAATCAAACAAGCCCCGAGGAGATTATGACAACCAAGTAGAAGTTGATTAAGCAGTTCCAAAGTATCAGGAACCTAATATTATTTTGGAAAAGCTTTCAGGATTCCAAAAAAGTCGAAGCTGAAAGGTAAGAAAATCTCCTGCAGAACATGGTTTTACCAAAAGAAGAGTTTCCTGTTACACATCCTTTGATTAAGTTAGACAGGGTTGATGTTGTTCGAGTTGAAAAGTTTCTTTGTGTGTCCAATCCAAGTCTAACAGGCCTTTTCAACACTTTGAGATCCAAGAACAATATGCCTGGCAATAAAATAAAAGCAGCTAGCCTATTCAAATATTTGATTTGTTGGCATGGCGCATTCAATACTTGAAGGAGAACTCGAGGACAATTTCTTTTCAGTTGGCGAGAATGATGCGAAATGTTCATGGATGTTTACGGAAATTTTATAGTTTTATTTATGTCTTTAATATTTTATTTATTTATTTTAATTTATAGTTTAATTAGAATTCTCAGGATTTGTTAGGATTCTCAAGATTTGTTTCCTTTTAATATGTTTTTTAGTGATTAAGAATTTTTAATTAGGATTCTGAAGATTTGTTTCATTTTAGTATGTTCCTTGGTCATCAAGAATTTTAGTCTGCTTATTTTTATCAGGGTTTCTTTTAGCTTATAAATAAAGGCTTCGCCATTATCGTTCATCAAAGTTGATTAATGAATTTGAATTGAGAAAAGCTGTGGCTTTTGTGTGCAGGGTTGTGACCCTTGTTCTTTTTCTCTTGAAAATTCTTTTCTTATTGAATATCGGTTCTTTTCATTTAAAACAATTCTCCATATTTTCTGGTTTTGAATTAGTTGAAAAAATAGTACAGATTTCTTACTTATTGAATATTGGTTCTTTTCATTTAAAACAATTCTCCATATTTTTTGGTTTTGAATTAGTTGAAAAAATGGGACAGATTTCTTAATAGCCGCATTGCATCAATTGGTATCAGAGCCTAAGCTCCCATTACCATCCTCTTTCTCTCCCTTTTATTTTCAGTACAGTCCGTCCTCTCTTTCGGAACGACATCACAACTTATCTCAAAATCGAAGTTGCATCTCTGTTTTTAGAATGACATCGCAGTAGCTTTCTTTCTTAGAATCAGCATTGCAGCAGCCTCTGACTCTCAGAATTGTCTCTATCTCCATTGCACTCCAATTGTTGGCACACTGCTTCTCTGTTGATGGCATCATCACATCAGTGTTGTTCTGAAGCTTAGTAAGTGTTCTGTCGCAAGTCGAGGTAGGGCTTCGTCCAATGTCATCCAGGGTCGTAATAACCCTAAGCCCTAATCCATCAGCATTAACCCTAGATCCTAACCATACACCCAACCCAACCCCTGACCCACATATGTAAACCAACCCATCTTACTAAAGCCCACCAAACCCCACATCAACCAGTGGTGACCCCAAGTCTCCTTGCAAACTCACTTAAACCAGCCCTTTAATTAAGCCAATACCAGTATACCAAACCCAACCCGGTCTAGTAACAAAACAAATCCAGCCCCGTCAATAGGACAGCACCAAAGTCAACCAGTCCAAAACTTTAGCTCATATCCATATGAATCCCAACCATCCTTTAACCCACTGTTTTACAAATTCTAGGCGCATTAAGGCACCAAGGTCTCCTAGAGCCTAAGCATGAAACACCCAAAGCGAGGCACAAGTTGTAGATGATAGCCAAAATTTTAATTTAAACAAAGTTTTTAACATAAGCAAATATTTTTTGAATTTCACAAATCATACAACATTCAATATTCCAAAAACCATAAAAATAACATTCAACTTTGCGAAAAATTCTCAAAAAATAACATTTAACCTTCTAACAACCACAAACTAATATCCAACAAAATTCATAAAAAAAACATCACTCATATCAAATAAAAATCAATATTTCTCTTGTTCATCCACCCATTGTCCATTACACAATATCCATACTTTACCCAAAACTATTTGCCTGCCTACATCAATTTATTGATGTAAATGATAACTCAGTGGTTTAAATTTTAAAAAGGGAACAACTACCCAATAGCTTCAATCATTAACCCAAAACTGTCATAATTCACTATATTGAAAGGAATCCCAAAGGCATATCTTTCTTGCAATCCAAAACTTTTGCTCAATGAGTAGGACTTTTTTGGATATGTGTTTGCATTTTATATTAAAAGGGTTGTGATTCCTTATGGCTACACACAAAAAGAATAAGGTTGAAGCAAAAATTCAAATGAATCACGCTTGAGCCTAAGGCGCACACCTCAAGCACCTCAGATGCTACGTTATACGGACTCTCTGATTTGTGAGAGGTACCCATGCTGACATGACAAAACACAGATACATGTGTAGAATACGGCCAAGATACGGCTAGATACAAACGGATACGGCTGAAACTCAGAGATGGAGAGAGAGAGAGAGAGCTGAAACTCACCTTTGCAAAGCAAGTCACGTGGCGAAGCAAGATCAAAATGCGAACCATAGTCGCAAGCTCGACCGAATCAAAGGAGATCATTGCCAAGTCGATTCCACCCAGAAAATGATCCTAGGGCTTCGATTCCCCTTTGGTCTCGGTCTCGCTCTCTCTCTCTCTCTCTCTCTCTCTCTCTCTCTTCTAATTTTCGTCTTCTCCTCCTTGTTCTCTGTGCTCTTCTTTTAAATTAGATTTATATTATATAATATAAATTATATTAATATGATAATATATAATATTATTTCATATTACAAAATATCATTCAGCCAAAAAAATATTGTATTGTATAATATAATATATCATAAATAATATAATTTTTATTCCTAATATAAAAATAATTTATTTTATCATACATAATATAATTTATTTTATGCATAAAATAATTTCTATTTGTTATTTTTTTTAATAAATCTGTTATTCCTTAGCGTTTTTTAACTCATCTTCATATAA